GCCCATATAACCTTCATAATACTTACTTGATAAACAGAAACGCGACAATGGTCAATCTTCGCTCACAAAAGCGGCTTGCCGCATCCGTTTCTGGGGTCGGCAGGCGAAAAATCTGGCTCGATCCCAATGAACAGTCAGAGATCGGTAATGCCAACTCGCGGACGCACGTAAAGAAACTTATCAAGGATGGTCGCATCATCATCAAGCCCACAACCGTCCACTCTCGTGCTCGCACCCTCCTTCTCCTGGCTGCTAAACGCAAAGGTCGTCACACGGGCGTAGGAAAGCGGAAGGGTACGGCCGAGGCTCGTATGCCAACTAAGGTCCTTTGGATGAGACGGCAGCGTGTTCTTCGGAGATTGCTTCGAAAATATCGTGAGGCGGGAAAGATCGATAAGCACCTGTGCGTTCTACTTTTTATCACACGAGCCCCCTTTCATCTGATTGCACAACCCTCTCATTACCAACAGCTATCATTCCCTCTACCAGAAGTCCAAGGGCAATGTCTTCAAGAACAAGCGTGTGTTGATGGAGTATATTCATAAGGCAAAGGCGGAGAAGTCCCGCACAAAGGTCCTTTCCGACCAGATGGAGGCGCGCCGCATTAAGAATAAGGTGCGTTGTCTATTCCTCATGTCCCGAACAATTGTCCTTCGTACTAACAATATCGCATCCGTATCTCAGGCGGTTCGTGCGCGCCGTGCTGCGCGTATCGCAGAGAAGAGAGAGGCTATTCTTGCAGTGGAGCACGAGGCATGAGATATATTTGATGTTTTGTGTTGTTCCTCGGGTTTTCCATTACTTTATGCCACACCACGCTGTATACTCGAGTACGTGCCACCATGAAACCGCACCGGGTCTGGATTTCTCAGTGTACGAGACTCGCCGTCGATGAAGGTGATCGGCGTCTGCCCTTGTTTGTGAGTGAATTATCAGAGTGATTGAAATGGCGCGGTCCAAGCACGTTGCCGCCAGGATGTTTATCGTATCGGTGTCCCAAAGATTACAACCACCATGAGCCCTGCCGCGATACACTACATCTCTAAAGACGGTGCCGATCGTAAGTCATTCCGACTAAAATCTCCGAACTCTCCAGTGAAACTGTGGATAGGAAAAGCGCACGTTCTCGATCGACGCCTAGGTGAAGTCTTTGTGCACTATCTCGGCACGGACAAGCGACTCGACGAGTGGGTTTCTGCGGATAACATCCGTGCAACCACTCCACCGCGGGATTCTGTATCCCCTGGCCATGAGACCTCTCCACCGCGACGCGTGAATGGTACGAGCACGCGCAAGAGGCGACGTTCGGCATCGCCTCCAAAAGCACACGATACTCGGGAAACAACCCAACCTCCCGCCGCCCTACCTACGATGGCCTCTACCCGGCGCAACTTTGACAAGGTCAATTTTGGAACCTGGCAGATCAAAACTTGGTGAGTGCGGTAATTTCCGTTACTTGTTTTCCCTTTCCCTGCGCGAGGGGTTTGGGACTGAGATGACCACGCGTCTTACCCTCTGCCCATAGGTACTTTTCGCCGTACCCACTCACGGACGGTGATGGTGAAGATGTTATCGGGCATGGACGCACGATGGACCTCTTCGCCGGCGCGGTCAATCGCGAGAATGCGAGCGAAATCTTGTGGGTGTGCGATCGGTGCTTCAAGTACATGACCGACGGCACGTCTTGGGAGGTACATATGGTGCGTTTTGGTTCTCCTTTTTCCCGGGCCATGGAGGGAATGCATATTGATCTCGCGGATGGTCACAGAGGAAGTGTACGCGCAAGCACCCACCGGGTAGGAAGGTATATCAACGGGGTGCACACACGATTTGGGAGGTGGACGGCGCGAAAGAAAAGGTGCGTACGATTGGTCGCCTTAGTCGTCAGATTTCGTTCCTTACGCCAAGAGAGCAGTTATATTGCCAGAATCTGTCACTATTTGGAAAATTGTTTATCGACATCAAGACACTTTTCTTCGACTGCGATAATTGTGAGCCGCGTTTCCGTTGATCGCAGGACGTTGCCTATACACTCGAGTAGTCCTATTTTACATCTTCACCGACGCCGACTCCCAACGGGATCATGTCCTTGGTTTCTTTTCAAAGGTAACTTACTGGACGGCTCCACTCGTTTGAGTACCTTATCTAGCCTGACCTTACAGGAAAAGATATCCTATGACGACTACAACCTCGCGTGTATCGTCGTTCTTCCTCCATACCAGAAGAAAGGTTATGGAATGCTCTTGATCGAGTTCAGTATGCGAATATCACTTCCCCTCCATGATCTTGGCCGACCTACTACATAGGTTACGAGCTTTCTCGTCGTGCTGGTCGCGTTGGAACTCCTGAACGTCCACTCTCCGATCTCGGTTTGCGTAGCTACCTTGCGTACTGGGTGTCCACCATCATCCGCTTCCTCCGGTACGTGCTCCAGTTCCCATACACCTTGTTGCCCACCTCGCCCTTACTCTCGAATTCAACCAGCCAACTTCTGTCCACGCTTCCGCCCGACCTACCTCTAATCAAGACAGTCGGGCACCTTCCCGACCTCTCTCATGTCCGAACAAGTGTAGACATGACATCGTCCCCGCAGAAACGCGCGAAACGCACCAAGGGCTGGGATGGTGAGTCCGCAACACCTAGTTCGCCGGAAGGTGGCGGCAGTGCATCGCCCGCAACGCGCGACAGCTTTGGTTTCGGCCCATTGGGTCCCACGACAAACTTGCCGCTCGAAAGGATGTACGAGACCGTGCCCGCGCCGGACGGGAGTGCGGCGGTGCACACCGTGGTGCGCTGTACGCTTGCAGACCTGGCGCGCGCGACGAACCTGCGCGTCGAAGACGCCGCATTTGCGCTGAATGAGTGTGGGCTGCTCGTTCAAAGGGAGGGTGAGGGCGACGCGATGACGATCGCGATCTCGCGGGAAATGGTCGAGACTGTTGCGCAGGAACGGAACGTCAAACGAATGTGTATTGACTTTACAAAGGTATTGTTATGAAAGTCCGCCGCCTTCATTGTATGTAATAAGATACCATCGTTGCCCGACCGTTGCCGAAGTGCGGTATCATCGCGAGGGGGAGAAAGTCGGCAAAATCTGCACAACCAGGCTCTTTTACCTGACCACCATGCCCATGACAAAACCTCTCTCCCTGACTCCCTGCCCGCTCTAGATGATTCCACAGCTTTGTTCCCCTTGTATTGTGAACCTCTACTGGGCCCTAGCCCTATATTCTTGTGAGAAACTCATAATGCTGCCTAATGGGCTGTTTCTAGTTGCCAGAGTCACGGCTATGTAAGTTGATCAAAGGCAGGCATCTGAGTTCAGGAATGTACTGACACGTACACTGCACTCTCACTGTCTTCCTCAGCCTCCCTCTCATGAAATTCCTTGCAGCCCTGAAAGCACATCCTTTCCATTCCTCTCAGAAAACTCTCAACTTCTTTAACATCCCTTCCCCCCCCCCTGCTGCCCCTGATGTGACAAGCTTTCATCTGTGCTTTCGGCAAAGGTCATCTGTTTAATTTAAATTAATTGGGTGGCCAAATGGAGTAGAGATAAGAATTGGAGTGGCTGAGACAGATAGGTCTGCTCTTTTCTTAATAACACACCTGCCTACTCTAATCAAATCCAAGTAGACCTATCAGCTGCAGCTGCAAAGGGGTAGACACGTAAAAACATGGGTGCCAGGGGTCAGGCCAATAGCTTGTGATCCTCCTTCCTTCTTAGTCACTTTGCGGCCTCTTTTCTCAGCCACTCCAATTCTTATCTCTGCCCCATTTGGCCTCCCAATTAAAATCAAATAGAAGACCTTTGCTGAAGGCACAGATGAAAGCTTGTCACATCAAATGTGAAATGAATAAAACTGCTAATTAATAATGTGCCCCACTGTTACGTTGCCTTCCAGTGGAGCCTTCCTTCACTGCTGAGTTACAGTTGCATACAGCCATACAGCCCCTCCTTGCCAAAAACTCCGATTTTCAGCTGCCTGCCCATTACCCAGTAGTCCCTATGTGCTTTGCCCCTGTCCCCTCTATCCCCCCCCTTTCCTCCCCTTATCATATGGTGAACAATGTGTTTCTGTCCTTTGTTAAAGCAAGACTAGAAGTCCCATATCTCATGTACTGTATGTGCTCTTGCTTGAGTCTCGGATCCCCACCCTCTTGTCAGAGGAGAACCCCCACACATGCCTCATGACTCATGTGAGTGCTACAGCGGCACAATACCTCCTTGCAGGGCACCTACTGAAGCCATTGATGACCACATTTACCACCCATAGGCTGCAGTCAAGTGTGGCACTCATACCCATGTCAGTTGATATAGTGATTAATAAACAATTTTGAAAAAAATTCTGGATCGCAACGAGCAAGACTTGCCAGGCTTGATAATCGCCCCCACTGCAGTAGTGATGTGCACTCCCCCAATCAGCCCCTCGCTGCAGAATGACAGACTCCCGACGTGGCTGAAGGAGAATAAAGATCGGGCCCAGAATTAATGGCGTATAGACCTAGCACAGCAGCACGCTCTGAGTCGCTGGCGGTAGGGCATTGACCACCACGTTGTCAGTGTGCTGTATCACTGGTTGCCGCCCACCAGTCGCAAAGCTGGCATATGCTTTACCCGCGGTCTTGTTGCGAAGACGGAGAGAAAATGTGACCTTTGGTAAGAGGTCCCCGAGACGTCAGGAGCGCCAACAGTCCCAATGAAACACCTTTCTCGAACTGGAGAACAGTCTCGGAAGATTCGCAAGCAAACCTCCATGGAATGGAATCTTAATGCGAGGAAGGATGGGAATGGGACACCGACTAGGGAGGGCAGAGTGGAAACAAGCACTGTGATGGGAAGGATCGTTTGGCCTGACTTTGCGGCGTGCATTTTGAGGCCAGGTCTCGATTCAATGTACTGTGAGACAGATGGATTCGTACTCCATACTCTAAAGCTCCAGAGGAGGGTAGTTATTTCGGATTTTGAGAGGTACGCCTTCGAATCCATTTTCTCGATGGCCGGGGTAGCTCAGCTGGGAGAGCAACAGACTGAAGCGTGGTCATCCTTCTACGGCTACGGAGCAATCTGGAGGTCCCGTGTTCAATCCACGGTCCTGGCATTTTTTTTCCCACTTCTGAAGTCGGAGACGGCGAAAATACGCGCGATGCGCATCGCAAGAAATTTTTGGCACAGTTTACGAAAAGCAAAGCACTGCAATGCGGGGAGACGCCCACCACAGGTCCACAGTCCACTGATGACTAATTAACAGGGCCAAGACGGTCCGAGTCGCGTTTTCAATGTGGCCGCAGCTCAAGCTACTTGTCGTCTCCCGTCCCGAGGAACTACAACGGGTCATCATAGACCATGAGGAAGAGGACTTCGAAGACAAAGGATATGTGTATGTCTGGATATCCTCGAACGATCTTGTCATCATTGTGTTGGCTAGGGCGAACCACTGAGGTACGGCACAGTGCAATGGAATCCATTCGACACGGAAATCCAAACAATCGCCCGCCAGATGAATGACACCAGCCATTCCGTTCTGCTTTCTCTTCTCTGGCAATGCCCTTCGTGATTCCAGGTTCCCGTATGTCTATGGCTCTTCGGGCCTCTCCAGTAAGCGTACACTCTCGGTGTCTGCTTGTGAGCATATATCAACCGTCTGACTCGTTCTGAGGTCCTTGGGCCTCCATCTCCCCCCCAGTCAGGGTGCGAGTCCGTGACCCCCCGCTCTCAAGCGTATCCAGACACCCCGCCCGTTTTGGACGCAGATATTTTCGATACGGTTCCCTTCTCGGTAAGTGTTTACCGCCGCGGAGTGTTCGACTACGGACGCAATCCTGATCCTTTCGTCGTCGTAGGCCTCGTTCTCGGCGTTTCTGGACTTCTCTGCACAAGACGCCACGCTTCAAAGCGCCACCATCACCCCAGACACCGCCCCGGTTCTTGTCAATGATGCCAAGCGATTTTCGAGTCGAGCTGAGGCTAGCTACTACGTCGAGGTATACGATTTCTGCGCAGGACCTACAGAGTGCTGATACTTGTCAAAGCAACTTACGAACATTCGAGATATTGACTCTGAGTGGGAGGATGATGAAGTCGAGGTAAGCGTATCCTAGACTCCGGTTTCATCCACGCTCAGCTTCTAATTATAGGAAGTCATGATCATCTCGCCAAAACCCAAGACGCCTACTGCGCTCAACGGTTCGTCACTGACCCACGTTCTACCCACACCCCCCTTTAGCCCGCCATTGGAACCTCCTGAGCCCGTGGTCCCACAAGAGTCCTATACTATCCTGCGGACATTGCATCGTACGCAGACTTCAAACCTCTCCCTCGCGGTCTCATCTGGCTGTGCTACATCAACCAAGAAGGCCGCGCTTCGCCACGCCCTATATGCGATCCGCACATACCGCCTGCCTTTGTCTCGTGCAGCGCTCGCCGAACGTGCTGCACTCGAGGTGCTATCCAATTGCATCCGCGGGGAAAATCCGTATGTCCAGCGTGCGTCACGATTCTGGGATGACGGCCAGAGGCTCTACATCGTGCTGGAGCATTGTGGAGGCGGGAACTTGATGAACCTCATACAAGTCGAAGGCCCTGTAGACAGCACACGCATGAAGCGATGGACATGCGAGATTGTAAGCTCTATGCAATCGCTCTCTCCTCTATGTTCACTCACTGAGTCATGGCAGGCTTCTGGCATCGGCTTCATACACCGTGCTGGCATAATACATAGTGACATCCGACCATCAACAGTCCTTTTCCGTGTAAATGGACACGTTTGTATAAGTGGGTTCGAACATGCTATCGTGATCGCCACGCGTCAAAATGCGCCGCCATCTATTGAAGAGAGACAGCGCGGCTTACTTGCGAGCGCACGCGAATGGTGCGAGGCTCCTGAGATGCTCCTCGGCTGGGAGATAGGGCTCGAGGTGGACTGTTGGGCATTCGGGATTATTTTGGTATGGATGATTACGGGAAAGGTATATCTCGCGCCGAGTTGTGCGATCATTGTGAACTGACATTATGTCTATTTAGCAACCGTGGTACCACAGCACCCGAGAGCACCCTAATATGATCCGAGATTGTATTCTAAACGGTTATTTGCCTGTCGCTCCGTTAGAGGGAGTCGACGCAGCCGTCAAACATGTGATCACGAAGGTGAGCTCCTGATTAAACGACAGACGGGGAATGTATTTGGGATCGTGACACACCATACAGTGTCTCGACCGCAACCCTTCCAAGAGGCCTACCATTGGGCAAATTAAGAAATATGAATACTTTGCAGATCTGTATGTCATCATCGTCCTCGCATTTATACACAGTAGTTGATGACATGACCTTAGCGACTGGGACAACATGTTCCTGGGACGCGTCCCGGACATCCGGATCACTCTCCCCACACCTGACATGACATCCGATGTGCCAGGAGACATGCCTAGCACCATCATTGCTCCTGACCTCTCTCTCAGTACGGTGGATACAGAGATAGAAATCGAACGCTCGCTTCCATGGACCCCGGCACGCATCAGCCGATCGGTGGGGTTTGTCTCTCCTGGTGCCAACACGATAGCCTCGGGTCAATCAGCAATTCTATCACATGTACTAAAAGCACCACTCTTCCCAGGCCGGCCGCGAAACCCCTCACCGCCATCTTTGCTGGGTAGTATGGGAGGCGGTGATACGCCTACGTTACAGCAGCAACAGAAGGGAGAACGACTAAATGAATCCTTCCTGCCCGAACTGAGCGAGGGGGACGGCGCTATTCACGTAGGGTTAGGCGTATGCGTCGATGAGTTTGGCACGTTCATCTCCGAGGATGAACAAGGATTAGTAGATGATTCTCGAGCGGACTTGGACGGGTCTCCACAAATAAGCCTGCAAGATGCGCTCGCATTGCCCATTCCGCTACTGGTCACGCCACGCACAAGCGAACTAGAGCTGCGCGGTTTCTCCGAGTCGGGTTGGACGCCATCGCGCCTCCCCGCCCGCCTATTCCACTGGCGTGGCAATGCAGGTGCCGGTATCGCGCGAGACGTGGCTGTAGATTCGCGTGGAGAGAGGGACCAGGGATTGCCGGAGCTCTCATGGCATGGTCTGGACGCAGACCCGTTCCGCTGTTCTCCGCCACCATCAGTTCCAACCGAGGATCGAGAGCTGAGTACCGGTGGAGGAGGGACAGAAGAAGTATTATGCGAAGACGTCGCGAGTTCGCGGCGCATGGACGCGACATTCCGCTGGAGCACTGCGTCGCTTGAGATGGGAGTCCCGCCGCATACGATGGGAGACCAGCATGACCACGCACATGCGCATACGATGTCCTTCGCGGGGCTGAGTGCTCTGACACGTCGAATCCGCGAGCAGGGACGTGCGCTCCTGCGCAAGTCTCACTCACATATTCCTTTTCCACGCCCACGCCTCCCCGGTTTGTCATCGCACTCTCATCCTCATCCTCCGCCTCTTTCTCCGCTGCCTCCACCGATAGTGGGCTTTGCCACTGCACTCGAGGGAGGGAGCTTCGGGAGCGTGCGGCGCATCGGGCTGGGAATCGGGTACTCACTCCCGAGTCCGGGTTTGACCCCACAGCAAGCGCGTACCACATATTCACCTGCTTCCGCCTCCTCCCCCATCTCCGTACCCCCCAGCCGATCTACTGTGCGTAAGGACGGCGAAAGTACAGTTGCGGCAGGGTGTTACGCAGGACTGGGCGGTGGTCGGCGTGGGAAGAAGAGGGGGGCCACACAACAACAACTACAGCAACAACTCGAAGAGCAGCAACAGCGGGAACGACTAAAAGGCGCCGATAAGTCTGGCACCGATGGCCGCGCAGTATGTGAGCCAGTACCTGGGGCATCGCCGTGCGATTCGGAGAGCGTGCTAATACTTGGGAACCCCGGATTTGGTGGAGCTGTTGCGCTGGATGGTACGAACTCGAATGTGTAGCAGGGCGCACCCTTCTCGATGATTCTGCGATACCGCCGGCAGCTTGACTAAGTTGCGAAAAAAATCGACACAGTCTCAGAAGTTGATCGCTGCTGCTCTTGTCGCTTCGGCAACGGTGGCACTCAGCTGACCTTCCTTCCCTTCTTTTTTCAAATCGCGTCGCAGCACGTTACCCTCTTTTTTCCCTCTTTTGGTTTTCGTTTGTCCGCTTTCGTACCTTTTTGGGCGTCATCGCATCGCATCGCACAAGTCTTGTGTATCTGTTTTCCAAGTAGAGATTCTTTGTTTGCATTGTTTCCGTTAACACCCTTTCTTTGTTTTTTCGCATCCTTCACACGAATTATAACATCTCGTCCCTCACCTTTAGCGAACAAGGACCGAAACAGTAAAGCAGACGTATTCCGGCGATGTCTGTCATATTGGACATGCAACCTTGTGCATCTCTCACGGAGCTGCCATGATTGTCCTGGATGAGGGGCTAAAGTGGTGCAACACTGGATCGAACGGAAGACCGGAAGCGAGAAATTTGATGACCAATAAATAGAATTATCATCATCCATGTTCAGATGCTGTGTCACGAAAACATTCGAAGCGAGATAAACAGCTTTGTACGCGTATCGGTCGGAAAGAAGAAGTCGACTAACAAGCGGCCGCTTAATATCGTCACGAAGCATCGAAGGTGGGTACAGTAGGCAGAATCGCGGCATTTATGCGTTATGTCCGGTTGAGTGACTCGGTCCCAACATTAGCAGACAGACTTGATCTCGTAGATTTGATTGCGACAATCACGGGCTGAAGCAAAGAGAGAACATCGAATCGGCAGGAAGAAGTACCTCGAGGGGCGTCCCGGAACGTCCCGGGTGAATCCGTGTGAGCCATTGATAGCGTTAAACGTTGTTGAGTTACCCATTTAGTGTAGGTAGGGACACCAGGGTCGAGGTGTAGCATGGACGTCGGAGGGAGGATCGCATTGTAATAAGCCGTGAAAAATGGGGAAACACCACAGATGACAAGTCACTCACATCGGCAACGACCCGATCAATATCAATATCGATGAACGGAGGCCGTCAAAGTATTAAAAATTTGGCTTTTTTCGGAAGAATGAGTCGTGCCGTGAGAGAGATAGAGAGCGTACAAGGGGATCACGAGAAAATACAGTGGAAGTGAGAGCAA